GCTTTTAAAGCTGGGTTAATGAAGGTTTGGTAGTCCTTAGTCGATAGGCGTGGAGAGCTACCTTGGTGGCTTAATCCGAATTCCTTGGCCTAGAGACCGAGAGAGTGATGTTCCCTAACTAGCTACACTTCCCTTACGATTCTCAATCACCTCCACCATACATTTTCAGTCATTCCAACAAGTCATGGTAGCGAGTTAGGGGGAGCTACACCCGAAAGAATCCTTCTCATTTAAGAGTCAAACCCAATTACTTATACAACCGCTTTAATAGTAGATCGTAGTTTTCACTCAAATAACCAATAGCTTGATAATGTTTCAAACAATCGAAGTAGGGGTACACGGGCCAGCTGGGTTGATATTTAAACATACTTGTCCTAAATTGCATCCAATTAAGGTTTATACTTGGGCGCTAATTTAGAGTTTTATTGTGATATTCGAAATGAGTCAGGGACTTGCATTGAAGTTGGCCTAAGACCTTTTATTTATAAAATCATATGATTTACTATCTCCTTAAATATTTTAATATTAATATTTTAGACCTTATCAATTCTACTTTTGTAAACCCTTATAAAACAAAAGTTTCTCAAATTTTAAAGACTAATTCAACAGGTAGAACCAACAATTAGACCCCAGATCGGCCCGGGTGGCACTCGTGGCCGCTCATTGAGAACTGAACGGCAACAAGTACTAGCTGTTAACCAAACAATCCGTTCAAATTGCTCATTTTGATCGTTGAACCTCCTCCCCAATGCTTGTTATATTAAAAAAAAAATTGAGTTGAGATTTCAACACACTTATTATTTTTAAAGGGAATGAGTGTGTTTACCAACTTTGCTATAAGCTTGTTATTGAACATATTATAAATCTTTCCTCCATTTCACCCTCTTATAAAGGATGAGAGGATATGGTTTTCTAATTCCAGAGGGGATTACTCCGTCAGATCGGGTTACAAATTATACAGAGCAAAGACCCAACAAATGAACAGATAGGGTCTTTTAGTAACTCCTGAGACGTCAAAGTTTTGGGAAAATTATGGAAACTACAAATTCAGCCCAAGGTGAAGCACTTTTTATGGAGAGTGAGTATGGGAGCTTTATCTACAGGGAGTAGACTGGTGAATAAGTCAAAGAAAGCAGGACCCGGGTGCCCGTTTTGTGACCTTTTCGCAACACCGGAACATGCTCTGATAGATTGCAGATGGGTAAGTAGATTGTGGAGGAAATCAATGGAAAACGATTGATTTGAGAAGGTAACTAACTTGCCGGTTGACGAGTGGTTAAGAGTGGTGTTCGACTCCTTCGAAGAGGAGAAAGTCGTCAGATTTGCAGCAATTCTATGGTTCACGTGGAAAGAACGGGATAACCATAACTTTAATAATTAGAAAATGGATGAAGTAGAAATAATCCAGAGAGCTTTGTGTTGGATGCAAGATTACCGAGAGGTAGAAGAGATGAAAAAGGGGGAGATGCATGAAGCTTTTAATGATCAGGTAAGGTGGATGTGTCTGCTTGTAGGAGTTTTTAAACTCAACATAGATGGTGAGATTTTTTCAGGAGAGGGAATTGGACTTGGGAGAGTGGTGCGGGACTGGCATGGGAAGTTCTGTATGGGGTTTGTGAGAAAGATCAGGGGGATTTTCCAGCCAGAGGAGGCAGAAGTTTGTGGAGTTCTAGAAGGGGTTAAGGCTGCGATCAGGGAAGGATTGGTGCCGATGGTAGTGGAGAGTGATTTCAAAACGCTAATAGAGAAGCTACAGGGAAGGGGAGGTGATTGGTCAGAGGTGGGAATTCTCTGCAAAGAGGTGAGGAGTTTGGTAGTTGGGATGAAAGGAGGAGGAGAGAGTGACCGAATTAGATAATGTGCTTTTGTCCCTAGGAAACTTAATGGTGTAGCCCATGGTTTTGCTCATCTGAGAGCTCCATGGGGATGAGATCAAATTATTGTATGGAAAGAATGGCCCCCAATTAATTTAGTGGACCAGATTGTAAAAGATACTTTAATAAGTCAGCAGAGACCTTAGTAATTAAGTGAAGAGAGAGAAAAATGCTCTGTCCTCTCTCCTTATGAGTGCGATGACCGTTGGAACGAAACCGCCGGAAGAGGCGGTGGAAAATGTCCTGAAACCGCCGGATGGGCCAGTGGAGAATGTCATCATGCTGCCGGAAGGATCGCCGCACTCGTCCCCTGTGCAGCCAAGCAAGAAGTCCAAATCCATCTCGAGCGAGGGATTTACTGGTAAAGGAAATATGGAAGTGGTTATCGTAACGGCAAGAGCCAGAGAGGATGATTTTGTTATGGAGAGTTCGGGGAACAACGGAGAGGAGCAAGACCAAGTTGGGTTCGAGAATTCGGGGGCCCCTCTCTGTACTGGAATGCCAAACATGGCGGAGAGATCGAAAGTGTCGCATAAAGATTATTTGCTCTGAAATGACCCACCGGAGGAGATTCCTGCGGGAGACGAGTTGATGTCCGACGAATCTGACATGGATGAGGGGGAGGATGACCCTTTCTGTCCCACAATCAGGGTGAAGAAAAGCACGAATGCCAGAGTTCGTAACCGCTGGAGAAGGGCGATTACCTTCCGAACCCTAGGTAAAATCTTTCCCTTTGCTTTTATCCATAGACGAGTGCAGAAGATGTGGGCAAAGTCAGGTGGAATCAAGATTGGGGACATTAGGAATGGATATTATCAAGCCATCTTTGATTCCCAAATGGACTATGAGCGAGCCCTCCACGGTGGCCCTTGGACGGTGCATGATCACTACATTGTCTCTGAGCCATGGAGACTTGATTTCGATCCTGATTTTGATGAAATTTACAAGACTACTGTGTGGGATAGGCTTCCCCGTCTGCCAATGGCTTACTTCGATGAAGAAATCTTAGAGAACATCGGTAGCAAGATGGGACGGGTTATCAAGATCGACTATAATACATCGAATGGATTTAGGGGAAACTACGCCCGAAACTGTGTTGAAATTGATCTTCGCAAGAGGCTAGTACCTAAGTACAGACTTAAGAGAAGGGTAAGGAGGGTTGAGTATGAAGGTCTCCATACTATTTGCTATGAGTGTGGTCGCTATGGTCATTTGGAGGAGAAGTGTCCTTATTTGGCTGGTAAGGAAAGTGCAAAGCCGGAACAGAGAACGATGGAGGAAGAACAAAGTGAAGAGCAGCCAGGAGATCAGGCCGGAAGTACTTGAGGACTATGGGCCATGGATGATTGCTACAAGAACGAAAAGAAAGAGCAACCACAACAGGAATAAAAATTTGAACATGGAGGGGACAAAGAAGGCTGGAAGAAACAAAGAGGAAGTAAAGGGATCAAGATTCATTGCTCTCGGAGAGGATACCGTAGAGGAGTGTGAGAATGTTGTTAGGGGTGATTTGGAACAGCGGTGTGAGGGGGAAAATCAGGATAGTGCTGCTGTGCTAACAACTCGCAGCAATCAGCGAAATAAAAAAGAAGACAAACAAGAGCCAAGAACTGAAGAGAAGAAAGAAATCGAAAGCCAGAAAAGGAAAAGCACACAAGGGAAGAACCAGAAACAGATTGAACAGGGCAGGAAGGAGCACCAAAAAGGGTCCCCAGACCCCATTTTACTGAAGAACACAAGTAGCTCTTCGAAGCCAGTGGCTGGAGGCAAGGGAAAGGAGAAGGAAACCCACCCTCCTGGTAGATCACCAAACCAATCACGAGCATCAGGACAAGCTCTCAGTAACGTTACTAACCAGGCAAGGAGTAACAAGGAGCGCGAACCACCTGATGTGAAGTCTAAAGGAACTCACAATCCTAGAAAGGCTGCCCCTCCATTAAATGAGAGTTCCAGGCCTGATCGACAAGACACCAAGAAATTGGAGAATGGGACAACCGTTCCAAGGAAGATTGACTTTGCAACTCAAACGGAAGAGGTCAAGGCTCAATCTTTGGATCCAAAAAAGTAGAAGAGCTCAGTAGGGAGCGATGAAAAAGGGCAGAGTTTAGTGGCTATGGCCATTGACCTTGCCTGATGCCTTGTCCTTTGACCTCTTGGTCATGGCTTGGGGAGTTTATTTTCTCATTCTTTTAATGATTAAAGTCCTCTCTTGGAATTGTAGGGGTGCTAAACACCCGAAGTTTCTGTCTACTTTCGAGTTATATAAGAGTCAACACTCACCGAACATTGTTTTCATTTTTGAACCCAGGATAAGCGGGAAAGAGGCTACCTCAGTTTTCAAATCGATGTGGATAATGGTAGATGGAATCCAATTAGACTTTCAGCAGGGGGACCTGCTCTTTCTTACTTGTTCTTTGCCGATGATCTTGTGCTGTTTGCTGAAGCTAACACTAAACAAGCTGAGGTGATTGTCGAGTGTTTGGAAAATTTTTGTGTGGCTTCGGGGGAGCTTGTAAGTAAGGATAAGTCTCGTGTTTTCTTCTCAAAAAATGTTAGAGCTATGGAGAAAATGGAGATTTGTGACAAGCTTTGCATTCAAGCCACTAATGATCTTGGGAGATACTTAGGGTGCCCGTCCTCCATGGTAGGATGACTCGTGACACCTATAAGTATATTCAGGAAAAAATGGACAAGAAACTTAACTCCTGGAAAGCTAGGACACTCTCTTTAGCTGGCAGAGTTACTCTTGCTGTTTCGGTGCTCAACGCAATTCCGTCTTATGCTATGCAAACTACCTTTCTGCCTGTGTCTGTTTGTGATGAAATCGATAAGAAGATTCGGTGGTTTGTCTGGGGGTCTCAAGTGGGGAAAAGAAAAGTTCTCCTGGTCTCTTGGGAACAAATCTGTAAACCAAAAGACCAAGGTGGGCTTGGTCTGAAAACTGCTAGGAGCATGAATAGAGCATACATGATCAAACTTGCATGGCAACTGCTTAACAATGGAAGTGATTTGTGGGTGCAGGTGTTGCAAGGGAAGTATTTCAAGCACAAGGAGGGGAGTATTGTTGGAATGAAATCCAGCAACCACTCAAACCTGTGAAAGGCGATTAAGAGAGCTTTGCCACTGATGAAGAGCGCCACTAGTTGGAGCATTAGAGATGGGAGATCAACAGGGTTCTGGACACACCCTTGGCTGGATAATAACATCATTCTCGAAGAATACCTGCTGGCTGATCTCAGTGAGGAGGACAGGTTGTCACCGGTCGCCTTCTGGATCAATGACGAGGGAGATTGGGATTGGCCGAGACTTAGAGGGCTGCTCCCAGTGGATATCCTAGCACTGATTGCTGGTATGGATCCGCCTGATCCGGAGCTTGGTGAAGACTTAACCATTTGGGGCATTGAAGCGGATGGGAAATTCAGACTGAGATCAGCTTACTAGCTGGTTACTGACAGCATCGACGAAGAACCTATTGAGATATGGGAAGCATTTTGGAAATGGAAGGGGCCTAACTGCATCAAGCACTTTCTTTGGCTGGTGACTCACAACAAGCTTCTTACAAACAATGAAAGGGTCAAGAGGAGGATTGCAACGAATGGAGCCTGCAGTTTCTGCAAAGATGTGGAGGAAACTGCTGAACACATACTTCGCCATTGTAGAAGACGAATGATGTCAGAAGGTTCTTCAGAAGCATCATTTGCTTCAATGATGATGGGAGTCAATTTCCAGGAGTGGCTGCGAAGAACCTCCATCAGGATATCCATGGTGTTAATTTTGGGATCCTTTACTGGCTTACATGGAAGCAAAGGAACGAAGAGGCCATGGATGGTAAGGCTTTTCCTGAGATTGGACGGATTCAGAAGACTCTCGCCTGGCAGAACATTGTGAGAAAGCCAAGGAAAACGTGGCAAGAGCACAGCGGACTGCTGTACGAGAAGATCAAATGTTGAAGTCGGATGGAGGCCCCCCAGGAAGGCTGATACAAGTGCAGACTGACGGCTCAGTGCACCCTAACACGAAGCAAGCAGCAGCAGGAGGGTTGTTGAGAGATCATCTGGGACGCTGTGTGGAGGCGTTTGTCTGCAACCCGGGATCCTGCTCGGTCACCCGCGACGAGCTTCGTGGAGCGACTGAAGGATTGAAAAGAGCCTGGACAAGAGGATACAGGAAAGTGGAGCTGAACTTGGACTCGTCCACAGCAATCGCAATTATCAAAGGCGGATCTTATTTGAATGTCAGGCATGGGCTTGCAGCCTGCCAAATTGGTCAGCTTATTGATCGGGACTGGGATATTTCTGTTAATCATGTTAATAGGGAAAGCAATGTCGCTACCGACTTTCTTGCGAACAAGGGTCATAGCTATCCTTTTGGATCACATTATTTTGATGTCAGTGACGTGAATCTCTGTCACTGGACTACTTTTGATGTATTGGGTATCACCCAAACTCGGTCTATTTTAATGTGATTTGGTCGCTTGCCGGCCGTCTTTCTACAAAAAAAAAAAAAAAATAGACCTTAGTAATTTTTCTGGGTTGGTATTGAATGAAACCACCACAGATTCCTATAAAACAATATATTATGAATCTTTTAAAATAAAAGTGATTAACTCTATAGTAATTTATAAAAATAAATTAACATTTTTTTAAATACATTTATGCTAATTTATTAAATTAAAATTTATACTAATTTATTTAAAAATTTTGTTTGGTTACATTTTCAATAAAAAAATGTTATTCCTTTCAAAATTTCGAGATTGCATTATTATATTTATATTATGTCATTATCATATGAATAACTTATGTTTAGCTTATTATATGATATCAATTTGTTGACCAATTTATGCATGTTTACTATAACGAACCACTCATTGCACTGATTCATACTTCAATTTGATTCTCTCAACATTGAAAAAAATTAAAACAAGAACACCATTTAACTAAAAAATTATCTTAAAAAAGATCACTACAAAAAATCAAAAGAAGAGATAACTTCTTACTCTCCCATTTAACGGTCCCTAGTCTCACCACGTGTTTCAAACCTCTGATCCACGCCGTCCCTGTCTGGTCACGGTGGTGTTATTCACGGGCAGAGATCAAGAGTTGGAAATTTGAGTCTACGGTTCAGATCCTGCCCATTGTCTTTCCGGTCATATCTCTTTGCCTTTAAGAACGAGGCTGCTCTCTTCCTATCATAATCGCTCTTATCAGGGAAAAGTTCCCAATCCCCAATCTTCTCCCTTTTTCCCCCTCCCGCCACGAAACCCTAAACCATGGCGGTCCGACTTTTTCCTTCTCCCTCGGTCGGTGGTTCCGTCCTCCCTTAGATTGTTCCCCCGACCCGACATCTTTCAGACCTAGGAGGCGTGTGGCGTTCACGCTATCTGTAATTCATGTGTTCTTGGTCACCTGAATTGGGAAACCTCTGCCGCCGGGGCTCTCCCGGGATTCTACCGGAATCATGGCGTCAGCTGTGCTAGCTAATAGAAGCGAACCGAACTGGATGCAGCCACAACGGCCGGCGTTGTGAAGCTAATGGGCAAATATCCTTTGTCTAACTCTAACCCAAACCCTAAATTCTCAAAGAAGCGGCACCTTCAGGCGTTACCCTTGGAGGATCTCGACGAATCTCCAGCCTTCACGCAGTCCGCTGCGTCTGATGACGCGTCTTCGATCAATCGGAGACCTAATGATTTAAACACAGCAGGCTTCGTTACTTTCAACATCTCTTCCTATTCGAGAAAGGAGCTGGTGGAGTTGAAGGATCGATTTGTGGCTGAGCTGGAGCAGATTCGTCAATTGAAGAGCCGCATCGACTTGCCGCTTGATTTTCAGATCAGATCCAGCTCAAATTTTCACAACAAGAAACTAATTGGTGGCCCAAACAGTAACAAGAAGATACTGGGAAGCAAGAGGCCTTTCCCTGTTACGGGTTCGACTTTTGGGGCCCAAGATTTCAAGAGAGCGCAACACCCAGATAACTCGCAATTGATGAAGAAGTGCGTCCAGATCCTGTCCAAATTGATGAAACACAAGTTCGGGCACATATTCAATGCTCCTATGGACGTCGTTGGAATTCAGCTTCATGATTACCACGACATAATCAAAGTGCCCATGGATTTGGGTATGGTGAAAAAGAAATTGGCGAGAAACCTCTATGATTCGCCGCAGGATTTTGCTGCCGATGTGAGACTGACCTTCAACAACACGATGAGGTACAATCCTAAGGGTCACGATGTATATGTTTTTTGCTGATGAGTCACTTACCAAATTTGAAGACCTCATACCGGCCCATCAAGGATATCGCCTTGTTGACGAGATCCAGAAAGATGAAGAGCACGTGCTAGAGTACAAGCGAGCTCTTGGGATCACAACCACCGGGGATTGGTGGAGACTGAAAGGGCATCCAAAGACCCAAGGGATGTTATGCAAGTGATGGCTAAATCCGAGCAAACTGGTACTCAGTGGCTCCTCCTGCTACTGGATCGAGCCCAAAACGTTAACCCTCACTCGACATTCACAATTGCCTGTGAGGACCCCATCACAAGAGGTTCCACCAGTGAAGCCTGTTAAGCCTTTCGAAGCCCAAGCAAGGATCCTAATAAGAGGGAGATGAACCTAGAAGAGAAGCATAAATTGGTGTAGGGTTGCAGAATTTGCCTCCGGAGAAGATGGAGCAGGTTGTTCAAATTATTAAGAAGAGGAATGGCCATTTGAGGCAGATGGAGATGAGATTGAGTGGTTATTGAAGCTGTTTGATACAGAAACTCTATGGGAGCTTGATCGATTTGTCACCCAAATTACAGAAATATGGCGAGCAAGATTAGGCGCCAAGCATTAATGGGTGGCATATTGGGGCTCCTGCTACTAGTGAAGGCAACAAGGTACATTGAGTTTCATTATCAGTTATAATGCCAACTGGGTTATTTTAATTCCAATTATTTTTCTTTGTGGTGCATGGTCTAATGGGCGACTTTGGTTTTGGGTTTTATTGTATGTTAAGGAATTGCCCGTCAATGAGAGAATGGGCATTGAATATGAGGCCAAGAAGCCAAAGAAAGGTGATGCTGGCGAAGAAGACGTGGACATAGGTGATGAAATGCCAATGAGCAGCTTTCCGCTTGTGAGATAGGGAAGGACAATGGCCATGCCAGTAGTAGGTTCTAGCAGCTCCAGTAGTTCCAGCGATGATTCTTCCTCCTCCAGTGGTATAAAACAACTCCTATGATTGGGAATGAAAAGAGTGGGTTTGTGATGCCCATCCTTGTGCTGCTGAAAAACACTAACTGTAACTTGGATATGCTATTCCGACTCAAGGAGCTCTTCTGGGAGTGATTCGGAGGATGGTAACTCATAGTACTATATCCATAGCATGATCAGAACCATTGTGGATGAGATTCTGGCAATTACAGGTTCGGGGCGGGGCGGGTTAGAGGATTCTGGAGGTGTCTTGCACAAGAATGGATGAAAAGATGCAGTATGATATACTGGTCAGTCTGTTCTGGTTGTGGATTGATTGCATTTGAGATGGTATGGTGTGGTAATTTGATAGAATCTATTATTGTGACAGGTTTGTTTGGATTGGTGGACGAACTAATGGAAGCTGGGCAGTGTTGAGTAAAAGGAAACAAGGTGAATTCTTCTGAGTTTGTTTTGTACAGGAAAAGCGGATGAGCTAGTGTATAAAGGGAGGAGCCAGCCAGCAGTGGTCCAGCTGGTTTAAGTTAGTGTAGGAGGGTAGTTAGAAGATCTTTTTTTTTGATATTTTTGGCGTGATCTGGTTGGAGGAGTAGTAGGGAGTAGTAGTGGTGGTGATGACTGATGAGTGCGGCGAATGATAGGTTATGGTTAGAGATGTGTGGGTGGGTGTTCAGAAAGAGAGATGGAGGACTTGGGTTATTCGGATAACATTTTGTATACATAACTACAAGTCAGTTGGAATACAAATTGACCACCGTGGTGGCTTGCAACCAGAGTTTGTTGATGTGTCCATGTTTTTTGATTTTGGCGCAGGGATAGCCGTTTATATTTTGAGCTGTTGTAGGGTAAGAGTTGGGAAGGAGGAGCGCTTTTTTGCGAGGTGTTGTGTCTGTTTGAGAGATGAAGAAGAAGAGTGTTAGGAAAGGGAACATCAAATATGATATCTGTATGTGAAGTTGATTTCTCTGTCTCAACGCAAAAGTTGGAGGAAGCAGAAAACAAGCCCCAGACAGGACAGGTTCATCCTTGTGTTGACATAGATAGTAGTGAACTAATGATGCGAAGATGTTTGCCTTGTAGTAATAATGGTTTTGCAGAGATGTATGGGGTTTGGAAGGTCTGTAACAAGAACGGTCAGGTGAAAGAGGAGTCACTAGCAGTGTTATAGGTAGCTTTGATTTTAGGTTGGACGGAATCGAGAATATGACAAGAGAGGAGAGTTCCTGGTTTGCATCTCTCTCGTCTCATCTATTCTTGCCGCCTGCGGCCTGCAGGCGCTCTCTGTTCCCTTTTGCCTTTGGCAGGCCAGCACTGTGCCAAACCAGAAGATGTACCGTATCATATCATATCTGAAAAGTGAATCCAAGCAAGAATTTTTGAAAGGGAATGACGCATGAAACTAGGTTTTAGGGGTTTTCTTCTTCTACTTCTCTTATTCCATAACAATCAAATATATAGTAGTCCTTACAACCGACGTAAAGAAAGAAACAAACAACAAACTAAACAGAAAGGAAAACGATAATGAGCCGAACGGTCGAACGTGGCCATGCAGATAACTCACGGTACTTTGGGTTGAGCTTGGGCTGTCAAGAGGAATGGCGCGGAACTGCCATGTACGCGTCATCCCCCCCCCCCCCCCCCCCCCCCCCACCCCCCTCTCTTGAAGCTCAATCTTGCCCTCAAGGTCAAAGGTCGGGAAGCGATCTCGAATCTCGAGCACCTCCTCCATCGGCAAGTGTTGCCATTGTACCAAACATTCCTCAACCCGGTCAGCTCGCCTAGACCAACGATGGTCAAGAACCTGCAGTGGAGTCAACTCGAGGCTACCATCGTCCGCGACTTGCGGTTCCGACACCTGTTGTGCTTCCACCTCGCCCACGTACTTCTTGAACAGAGACACATGGAAAACAGAGTGATTTTTCGCCATAGGAGGAAGCACGAGACGATAAGCAACCGCCCCAATGCGCTTAAGAACGCAATATGGTCTGAAATATCGCGCCACCAACTTCTGGGAGGCTCGCCTGAAAATGGTGGATTGGCGATATGAATGCAGACGCAGCATGACTGATTCGGGCTCAATTGTACACTTTTAACCCCTGGTTACCTTAGTCTTTTGATGCATTTTTACTCCGAGAGGTTTGGTTTTACGCTGGTTTTTGTCTCGATTTTGTGCATTTTAGTCTATACCAGGTGGAACCAACCCCGAAGTCGAAAGTTGGACGAAAAGGCGAAAAATCGGGTCAAAAGATTGAGGCAGTTGCAGATCACGGGGAAAGCCATTAGTTCACGGTCATGGCGACTGTGAACTGGAGTCGCAAGCCGTGAACATCAAGGCCTCCAGGGATTTTTTTGCTTTTATTGGTCTCAAGCTAGTTCACTGTCGTAAGACGGTGAACCCAAGTCGCAGACCGTGAACTGAATTGATGAGACGACGCGTTTTGCCCTGAGATCACGGTACACACCTTGAGTTCACGGCCGTGAACGGGGACCGTGATGTGAGCTCGACCTGGGTATAAAAGGGGTTTTTAGCTGAATGAGAAAAGGGAGAGACCTAGTGTGAGAAACTTCTTCTTCTTTAGATTTCTATAGTGAGAAAGTGACGAACCAAAAAAGAGAAGCAGTTAGGATTTCATTTTCAACAAGGATTTGGGAATTCCTTCACCAAAGGAGGATCTCCTCACACAATGAGCATTGCTCACATCTCCATGATGGGTTTTCCTTCTTCTCTCTTGTGTTTTCCCTTCTCCTAACATGGAGTAGTCCCTTATTTCACTTGGATGTTTGTAAACCCTAGTTACAATTATGTGAATGTTTCTATGGATTGAATGATTTGTGTGTGGATGTGTTTTAATGTGAATTTGAAGGTATTTTCATGAAAGATTGTTACACGCTAAAACACAACACAAGGTTGCGACTAAGTACAATCGCATAATGGAAATGCAGAATAGTGGCAAGCTCAATTTATCAACCCCCCGTTATCTAGCGGGACTAAGTGTAGTGAGAGTGATTGCAAACAAAAGCAGTAAGAAAGCAGGAAATGGTTCGAAGTTCTTAAGTAAGGGAAGAGTCACTCGGGAATGAATCTCCCTACCTCTTTAGTTAGGTTCAAGTTGTAATTCTCTTTGGTTGGTTTACTGTTGATTAAACTGCGGAAGCTCCGAAAGTAGTATGGAATCTCTTAAGCTGACCAAGCCCTCTCAGACAAACCAACCGGCAGGCAACTAGCCTTCATCCGGATAAATTGATGAGGCAATTAACACATAACTCCACTACTGGAATTGGATTCCAGTACAAAGCAGTGAATCGACTAACTCTCGTATAATCAATCCACTCCTATCAATTGAAGAAGCTCTAACAACCTAATCAGATTCTATCTATCTCAGGTTGCAGCATAAATCAAGAAAAGTTGATCAGGCTTGAATTGACTCAATAAACACACTTCAATTGATTATAACCAAGCAGTATATCAATCCAAAAGTCATTAAAACTCAAATCCCTAACACATGAAACTAGGATTCTTCATACCCAAGTGAGAGAAGGTCTACTCCATAAAGAGAGAGAGAGAAGAAAACAGAATTCAACGCAGTCATACTCATAAATCTGCTCTGGGATGTCAATCTTCACTCCTGGGGATGCAATCTGGACTTCAATGATGAGAAATCCACTCCAAATAGATCCTATGGTTTGTTCTTCGCACTTTCTCTCTCTAGAACTATGTTTTTGCTCAAAAAGTCGTATCCCCTTCCTTTGGCTCGGGTCTGCCTCTTTAAACCCGATTCTGGGCTAAATACGAGCCAAAATACGGTCGTAATTCACTCATGCCCGTATTTTTCCCAAAACGCGCGTTTTACTTAAGCCTCAGCGCATCCAAGGCTCCTCTCGGCAGTGAAATTACGGGCTAGACACTACTAAATACGATCGTATTTTTGGGAATACTGGCCGTATTTTTTACTGCCGGTATTTTGTACTTGATCCATCATAAGGCTCGACTTAAAAAATATCGGCAGTAATTTGTGAATTACGATCGTAATTTAGGGATAACAGGCGGTAATTTGTGAATTACGACCGTATTTTTAGGGAGTCGGCCCGTATTTCATTCTCAGCTCCACTTTTGAGAGGCTTTTGAGTGACCAAACGACCTCTGATTGACCCGAAACTTGCGCCTATGCCTCCGTTTACTCACTAGGACCTCAAATATGAAAAAATAACACAACCTAGCGTAAAATAGGCCAAGACACCACAAATTGGAGCCAAAACGGTTAAGAAACAAGTGTGCAAACTTTTGCAAATATGGTGCTATCAAATTCCCCCACACTTAACCGTTTGCTTGTCCCCAAGCAAACCCAGTCAGATACAAGGTAAGCTCAAAACATTTTAATCATGAAAACCTTGGGGAAATATCATATGGGCACACAACACGTGAATCATATTGGCTTTTAGACATCAACACATGAACAATCTCAACGACAATCTAGACAACCAACACAAATGACATTCGAGTGCAACAAAATCGGGTAAAGGAAGAATCTCCCTTCTTTTCACCAACCAACATAGACTTGACTCAACTACTTATTCAAGACAGTCACCTCATGCATGAAACTCAAGACATCAGAATCAAGACCGAGCAATCTAGGTCCTCACAGTGGTAAAGAGTGTAGAGAATATAAGGAAATGAATCGCTCACTCTCGACCAGTGGGGTAAGGACAATTTGATGCGAAAAATGCGCATGCTTATTCTCTCAATCCCTAATGTCTCTTCACCATGACGACATCCTCTAAATGTTAGATTTCACATATCGGGTGTCACCACTAACTAATAAGGAGGTCTTAGACATGACTTCAGATGACTGGCTAGGGTCTTGGACATGGGGAAAATGCCTTTTAGGTGATGGAAGTATTCATAACACAAGGTTCCACAGTTCCAAACCCAGCAAAGTCACAATCATTCAAACCAATTACTTTCTTTCTGCCATTCTGCATTAATCACGTTCTTTAGAGCACAAGAGTGAAGGAGGTCACAACGTGTTAGTATTTCTAAGCCAAGCTGCTAAGAAACACTATTTAATGAGCATGATTCAAATTTTAGTAGTGGCTCTCTTTTGTTAACATTTATTTGTTTCTTCTATTTTTTTCCTGAAGAGAACCACTGACACGCTAAAACACAACACCTAACAATGGCCAAGTGTAACCAATGAAAGGGACTGCAGTATAGTGGCACAAGTAATAAATATCGAATCCACGGGTCTCTAGAGTTACTATTACTCAGCTTCAGTTCATTATCTAGCAAACTAGATTAAGGATTGATTGATAAACTACTCTACTGACTACTCTACTAATTACAAGTTGGGAACTCACTTAGGTATGATTCCCCCTAGCTCCTCAATTAGGTCCAAGTTGCAATTACCTTTGGTTGATCTACTGTTGATTAGACTGCGGAAGATCCGAAATTAGCTTGGAATCTCTTAAGCTGACCAAGCCCTCTCAAACAGAATACCCGACAGACGACTAGCCTTCACCGGGATAGACTGCTAAGGCGATTCACACAGATCTTCACTACTGGAATGAATTCCAGTACAAAGCAGTAAATTGATTGACTCTCGCACAACCAATTCACCACTATCAATCAAGGAAGCTCTCTTAACCTAATCAGATTCTATCTATCATAGGTTAAAGCAGAAATCAAGAGAATTTGATCAAGATTCAATTGACTCAATAAATCATGCCTCAATCGATTATAATCAAACAATAAAGCATCCAAAACTTCATACAAGAAAGATCCTAACTCATGGAACTAGGGTTCCTCAAAACCTAAGTGAAGGGAAGTTACTCCATAGAGAAGAGAGAGACTGCAGAAATCTGATCTAGATCTTCAATCTCCATCTCCAAGCTTGATTCCTGAGCTCCAATGGCGAAGAAATCCTCCAAAATAGCTCCAAGAATGTTCCCAAGTCGCTCTCTCTCTCTCTAGGGTTCGTCCCTTGGGTGTTTGGGATCCAAAACCCAGCTCTCCCCCCTTTTGTTTCGGATTAGGCTTAAAAACAGGCTTCCCCGAGTTGCACGGCCAGGTGCACGGCCGTGCACAACACCATTCTGGCCGTGCACCCTCAAAACGCACCGTTTCACTTCATCGATCTCAGCCATCTTGCACGGCCAGGTGCACGGCCGTGCAAGGCTGGATTTTGCCCGTGCAAGGCCTCGGCAGAGAGCGCACGGCCAGAATTATATGTTGCACGGCCGTGCGCCTCCCTGGTCTGCCCGTGCAGCTTGCTCAGCCTCTGTTTAATGCTTCGTTTCTCCCTCGTCCGGACTCCGAATCAGTCGCCGTTTGATCCCAGACGCTCGTAGTCTCGTCCTATTTCGTTTCATAACAAGCTTGCATGATTCT